ACCAATGAACCACACACCATCGACTGCATGTCATTTTTCCTCCCCTTCCATGAGAATCATCGGCCTTGCACAGGTGAAACGGAAGCCATGACGATCCAACGTGCGACCCGGCACTCGCCAACCCGAGCTGGCAAGACGGGTCCCACGCAGTGCGGAGACGTTTGCTCCGTAAGCTACGATCCCCCTGGCCCCCTACGGCCCCCTACCTACACAACTCTAAGCCTTCAATCATCTTCAATCCTTTCGGAATTCGGCTTCCAAGGCCCTGTGAAAGGCTCACACGGTTTTGCCTGCCCAGTCCTGCGCGGATTTCGTGTTCACTCCGCCCTCCCCACCCCCCAAAGCTGCGTGTTGCTTATGTGCAGGGTCCTTCTCCAAGTCCTTTTTCCGGGCAAGGCACTTGAGAATGCCGGCGGCTGCCAGAAGAATAGCACCTAACACGAACCTAAGCTGACGGGAAACAGCTAAACCCCCTTGCCCACCGGCGGTGGGACAAATGCAACCTGCCCCATCCCAATGACGAGCGGCAAGAAGATGCACACCAACAGCCCCACGTATGCCTTGCGGTGGCAGGCACCGCGAATTGCTCACATTGTCTGCATAGTGCGACTCACATTCCTCGCCAGCAAACTGTCAGGTGTGCCCCCTCTCACCTTTCCCCACCCCGCGCCGTAGATTGGATCAGCTGATCCTGCTCAGAGACCATGGCAGCGGCTTTGCTCCCATCGGCGGGCCGTACGCTTTGGGCCCAGCTGAGGCAATGATATGGGCGAATGAGCGGCGCAGGGCAGCCTAGCTTCCCACGAATCGGCTGAGGGACTGAAGAGGGGCTTGTGGAAAATATGTTGTGTCTGGCGAGGAAGTGCAGCACTGAGCACCTGTGACAGAAGGAGGGCAACCAAATCAAACAACTATGATCGAGTATTGAGTAGCATTTGAAAGGGTGTTGCCTAACCTTTGCCGACTTTGCTTGTGCCACCGTCAAAGTAAGGCTGCCTCGCAAGTAGGCACTGTTTTGTTTGTTCGGTCAGGCCGGCAAGAATACACACAGGCTGTCCAAACACGGCATCATGATTGCTGAGACCATGCCAGAGCCACCTGGCCTGCTGACTAATTGTAGATGTAATCATTTCACGCTCATGTCAAAAATGTTGGAGTGTACGAAACCTTTTGGCAGTTGGTGCCAAAGGGAAAACACAAATCAGAATAAGCAGGAGCATGTCTAGTTACCAAAAAAATGGCAGTGCCTTGTTTGGTGGTTGATTTGATGGGCGAACCCCTCCAACAACAAGCAAAGAAAAAGGATCACAGGTGTCGCAACAGGGGATTTTCACCAAGGCCGCCGGCGGGCAGCACTGGCTCGCACGTTGCGCTCGGCCTTCTCCTGCTGCTCGGCAGCCTTTGTTGGGGGGGTGCGGGGCGCGAGATGGCGCGAGACTCCCATCTGCATGAATGTCCAAAGACAAACACACCCCCCGGAGCAGCTGAGGTGGAGGGTGAGCGAACTTGGCAGCTGTTCCTTTTTGGAAGCTGAATTTGCATGGCTTCATCCCAGGAAAAGCGGCACAAGCTGCAAGCTCGGCGTCTGGCATCGCAGCGCCGTCTCTCTGCCTGGCGCTTGGAACAGCACAGGTTTTGACGTAGCGCGCCAGTGGGAAGACTGCGTGAGCAGGCCATCCAGGCTGCTCGGATTTGGCTCAGGGCTGTTTCACCGTACACGCTAAGGCAGGGGCTGAGTCATTTGTTAGTCATTTGTTTTGACACCAAGCCATATTGCAGCACTTGCCCGTCCCCTCCACCAGAAATTCGGGCTCCGGCCTCGTAGGGGTCATCGGGGGCACCTCATGCGCCGGACCGATCCCTGAGTCACAAAACCCCGACGCTGGCGCTTGATGGGAGGCCATCATTAGATGACAACGAATTGTTAGCACCGATCATATTATCCCACCTGCGTTGATGATCATGGTTATTCCAATGCTGGCGCTCAAGGAACAACTTGAGTGCAGCTAGAGCCTGCACATGCGCACGAGCTAACTTGACAGCCATCCGCATCTGCCTTCCGCAAAGGCTGAACAAATCAACAAAGCTTGAGGAAACCGTCGGTTGAGTTTCTGATATCTTTGTTTGCTGTTTAAAGGCTGGCTCAGGGTTGGTTTCGGGCCGGTTCAGCGCTGATGGTTTAGGGATGGTTTAGGGCTTGATTTAGGGTTGGTTTAGAAGTTGGCCTGGAGTTGCTTTGAAGGTTGGTTTAAAGGTGGGATTGGGTTAGTTGCGGCATTGGTTACCGGTTGGTTTTTACTGGGCTTTGGCTGGGTTTAGGGTGAGTGCCAGGTGCCGGGTGGCTTTCGGGTAGGGTTGGTTTAAGGCGAATTTAGGGTGTGTTTGGAAGGAGCCAAACCAAGCAGTCCCCTCTACGAAGTCGGGGAAGTCGCACATGCACCAAGAAAGGTAAATGTCAAGAAAACTGCTTAATTTTAAAAAGCAAGATGTTTTTGCCGACAATTGCAGTAGCACACTGCACTAATACCAAAAGGACGGTCTAAATACGGGGGAAAAAAGGTGCTTAATGTCAAAAGAAACGGAACCCATAGTGAAACCACACCAAACCTAGGCGCCAAGGCCCGGACAAACTTGGAGGGGCTGGACGTGCAGGGAGGAAGGCATGCTGAACATCTCCTGCCGCAAGAAAGGGACTGGGAACGGGACCTCGTGACCCGCTTACCAAAGGGACCGGAAAACCGCCGACTAAATAGAACCCGTACCCGACGTAAGAAGCAACACTTTCCAGGCTGGGCTTGGACATGCAACAGTAGAGTTCGGCACTCACATAATGGCAGAACACAAGCAAACGATCACCCGGGCGGGTGAGAGTGTACAAAAGGCAACCACCTGCAGTGGGTGAAACCGGTATTCTGACCTTACAAAGAAAGCGCTCTGGCTGATTTTGTCCTGCTGCTGTTGAATCAACTGGGCTGCTTGTAGTGCAGCCTGCTGTGCAGCCTCAGCCTCTGCCTGAGGCGCTTAGCAGGGGACGACCAGCTGTTGAGGGCAAACTTCGAAGCACTCGACATGCTACATCATTTGCGGAGCATGCAGGGCCAGCATAAATTGGGTAGGTCCACCATTCATCAACTCAGCATATTTGAAGTTCATTGAAGTTCTTAAGAAGCTAGTGGGATCCTGTCAGGGGTGAGCTTCTTGCAATTTGCATCCATTGGCTCGCGCCTCCGGTGTTTTTTGTTGGATTGTTTGTTTGTTTTTTTGGTGGAATCACATAAATCACGCCTGGGGGGTCCAGGTGTTTGGTTTCTTGAAATCAAGCCTGGGCCCCCAGGCTTGATTTCAAGAAGCCAAACACCTGGACCCCCCAGGCGTGATTTCAAAAAACAAAAAACCGCCCAGAGGCGTGAATTCAACAGAAAAACGCCCCGGCCCACAGGCATGAATGCACAAAAACGAGCACCGGGACCCCCCGAACGTGATTTCAAAGAAAAACCATCTGCACGCCCCAGGCGTGATGTTTTTTTTTCTCTTTTTTTTTTTTTTAAACTGGACCCCCCAAACGGGAATAAAAAACAAAACAAAAACGGGACCGAGGTGTTTTTTTCTTTGCAACCACCAGTCACTCACTCCCTTACTTGCTGACGGTGTCTGTGAGAAACAGCACAAAAAGGAGAATCCCAAATGAGGAATTTCAAAATAAACACGGCTGGTGTAAATTCAAAGGAAAAAACACCGGTTCCTTGGCTCTCTCGTGTGAGAGATACAATGAGATACTTCAAGGACCCAGATTGGACAATGATGGTGTATAGCAGCCCAGCAAGCAAGCTTTCGGAAAGTCTGCTGATTGACCCTTTGCGCCTGGGCGGACATGCTCTCCGCTTGAGCACTCAGCTGGGCCTGGGCACATAGCCGAGCAAAAAGCCCCGGTCTTGAAGTCCTGAATCAAACCTTCCCGGGCACGGGATCGGGTTCCTTCACTGACTTCAGCCGCCCCAGGTGCGCTTTTTTTTCCTTTCTCTCCTTTCGATCCTTTCGCGCGGCTCTTTCCTTTGCCCTTGGCTCGCGGCCTCAGACGGACTCTGCCAGGTCAAGAGGCCGGGGGTCTCAACTGCTGTTTCTTGCTGCGGTCACCCATCTGGCAAGCACATGCACAACATCCTTTTGGGGAGGTCCGTGAAAAGGGGGGATTTCAAACATGTTACCTACCATGGGCAACGTATTCACGCCCATCGCGAAACTAAGAGCTCAACAGTCTTAAAATGCCGAAAGTGTTCATCCCTGCTGGTTAGCCTTTGAGGCGAATGAAAAGTCATGGGCTACTCAGTCTGCACCGGGGGCATCCTGGAGTATGGCTCCCTTTGTGTTCAACTGAGCTTTGTCGGCCAAGAAGCGGCTCGGCCTTTCCACACTTCGCCTCCTCCGCTGCGAATCGTGCCACGCAAGCGCTGACCATGCCATCCCAGTCCGGCTGGTCGCAACTGGCCTGGCACGTGCCATTTCGCTGCCGGCCAAACGGCATGGCTATGGATATACGATATGAAATCATACAAGCAGATTCCCACTTCCATGGCCCAACTATACTTTGCCACGTAGGCTTTGACTTCTACTTCCCCCGAGCTTCAACACTCCTTCATTGCGCTTGGTCCCCAAATCCCCAAATCCCGACACCGGCCTCCGAGGGCTCGGCCGCGAGCTGGGCGCGGCGCTCTGCCAGCTGCTCGGCGCTCAGGGCACGAAGCTCCCCTGACTCAAAATGGGGCCTAGCGCCCAAAAATGCATTTCCTTCGGCTTCTTTTTGGACATCTCAATCATCATTACGCACACCATTCTCATACCAGTGCCACGCGAAGCCCCCCCACTTCCATGCAGCACAACCTGAAGCCATTGAATTCCTCCAACCTCCTCACATCAAGCCTTCGAAATCTGAATCCCAAGCAAATGCCTGCAGGTGACATGCCAGGAATGCCTGCTGCTGTTGGCGCTACTTGCCTCTACCTCTACCACGGGAGTGCCGCCGGGCTGCGCAAAGCCCCGATATCCTCTTCCAAGTCCGGACCAACCAAATCCCACCTGAGAACTGCTCCCAAGTGGCCCAAGTGTGCGAACCATGCCGAAATGATGAACAAAGCCGTGCTCCGCACTGCAAGAACATATCCAGTTTGGCTTGCTTCAAGTCACAATTCGCCACCAATGCATCTTACGTGCAAGCTTAACAAATTGGAACATCATAGCATGCAGAACGTATGAGACAAAAAGCCATCACCGGCCGCAACACAAGCCTGGAATTGACTTGAGGTGTGTCTCCAACGACAATTCGTTCCTACCGGCAACTCCTGGCCTCCTAAACGGGTTTGCCTCAAATTAGGGGACCTCCCTGGCTTCCGAAAGGGGCCTTGAGGCCCCAGAAGCAAAACACACCGACATGGCTCCCAATTTCCGGCCACGCGCCTCACCCCGCTAGGCTTTGGCGCAGAACGCTTGCAGCGCACCAGGCCGCTGGGGGTGGCAATGGCATCCACGGGGAGGTCATGGGACTCCATCCTCACGTCTTGAAGGGTTACATGGGGCAAATGTCTGGATGGTTCGTCCGATTTTGCCAACCCGTGCCCCAAACTGCGGTTGCATGTGCCGCTGCACGCGGCCAGCACGATACATGCCTTTTGCTGGTCCTCGGTTCCTCACCGCCAAAGCCGTTGTGTTGTGGTTTGTGGTCATTGGTTTCTCTCATGCCTGGACCTTCCGAAAATCCAAAAGTTTAGGCGTTGGCCAAGAAACATGTGTTTTTTGCCTTTGGTGTGAAAAATGCTTTTAGGGCGAAACAAAAACCACCGGCGGTCATATTTGTTTGCGCCGCGGTCGGAAATGTTCGCCTGTTGGTCGAGAATTTCGCCTGTTGGTCGGGAATTTTCGCCTGTAGATTCGGGGAGATTTCGCTTAACACCCAAATTGAGCCAAAAAAAGGCCGTAGGCAAAAAACACGCGTAATTGCCCCAAAAAGCAATTCGTAGGGAAAACGCAAAAAAATGAGCATGCAAGAAGATCCAGGTGTGACAGGCACTGGGCTTTTGTGCCAAGCGTCAGCTCTTCGGGAAGCTCCTCGGAACCCACTAGCTGCAAATCGTGGCACAAGGTGTACCTTCGCACAAGTCCGACATTGCATGACAGGGTGACAGGCCTTATTTCCCAAACAACGTGGAAAGGAAAGAGACAAATTAGGAAGGTTGCTGCATGCTGCTTCTCCAAAGAGTCATCTAGGCTTACGTGCCTCTGGGGTGTATGTATCCTTGTGCACTGCGGAAAGATCAGCTCAAGCAGCATGGCGTACCATGGTGTATCTCTGTTTTGGACACGGCTCCGAGGGTGCAGTTCCACCGAGCCCCAAGCGGCCAACAGTCGAGCTGTGGATGAGCTCACGCAGGTGTTAGTCCGTGTTTGGTCGGGTAGCTTGTGCAGGACATCATGGGGCGAGTGGTGATGTCAGTTAGTGATAAGGATGCCCAATAGGCAAGAGTGCCCTTTACACATGGTCATGACCGTTGTGAGAACTTTGGAAGGAAGCTTAGGGTGAAGGACACCCGTGCGACCAACTGATCTGCACCCACGCGCCCAAACACACCCCGAACGCGCAGCTGAAGGGCACAGGCACGGAAGCGCCCGCAGCACCCAGCTCCGTCAGAATCCCCCATTCCACCTAAAGGCGGACGCTCAAACCCTTAAATGTCTCCACATGTCAGGGGTACACTCGCGTGCCTGAGAGTCAAACATGTCAGGCTCGAAACATTGAGAACAAGTTCAGCAGAAAACGACATTCCGTTTTTGCTCAAGCCCTAGGGAACAGGAGCAATCTGCGATGCACGTTCTGCCACGAGCTCACGCGCCTCTCCATAGCCTTTGCCCTTGCCAAGCCGAACACCGTTTGGCGCAGCCACACCTCAGCTCTGCCACAACCAACTTGCCTTAGTCCATGCTAACTTGATTCAGGGCCAAAACTTCTCGGCCACTAAGGGACCAAGCAGCTTCACCCTTTTCTCCAAGAGCCCGACCTAGCCCATCCCAAGCGTAAGAGGTCGGCCATGCCTCATTGGATTTGTTTCAGCAAGCCAGAAGTTGGCTCCGAGACGCAGGTGGCGACAATGACGACGTCCACGGCAGGGATCTCCTCAGGACATGTTGCCAGGCAGCCACGTGAAAGCGGGCCAGAGCGAGTTTATTCACTCAACTAGTCACCTCGCATAATTCAGGTCCCCCCAATATCAAACATTTGTTTCGCCGAAATGTCGAGGTCGCCAAGATTTGTTAAACAAGCTGCAGCTTGGTCCTCTTCGATTCTTGACCGAATCCCCTTTCAGGGTCCGGAAATCGTTCAAGTTCAATTAGCAAGAAGTTCAAACTGCTGCCGGATTCGGGATTGTGGGATTTTCGTGTTGGTTTGATTTGTTTCGGTTCACAAGACTTGTTCGAGCCCCAAATCGACCGGGTTTTGGAGTCGGATGGGAAAACCGTTGGACAGTGATATAATTGTTGATTCAGGAGTGGGCCTGCGAACAACAATAGCGAATTGGAAACCGCCAGTCAGGCGTATTCGCGCGTGACAAAAGACTGTGAAGGCGTTTGGGAAACCGAATGGATCCTGGTAAGGAGTGATGTCAAGTGAGGCCGCACATATTGCCGTCGTGGCACGAGTAATTTCAAAGGCCGTGCCCATTTCATGTATTCGCGCCTCAGAAAGCAAGTCATGCAAATTTGCAAATTTGCAATTTATATCTGAATCTGGACGTCTGACCTTGCTGCTGGATGCGGGATGCCCCTCAAACACTATCCCAGCAAACACCCTTGGCAAGAGTTGCTCCCAACGAAAGGGCCTGGTCAGGGGGGCGAACAACTGCTAAGTGCCATCTCTGGTGATATGCGCACAGGGCTAAGGAGGCAGCTTATCGCCGGCCCACTCCAAAGAGCGCTGATTTGGGCATAGATCCCGATGCAGCAGCAAATAGAGATAGCTGGCGCCAGGGTAAGGCGGAACCAGTACCTTGGCTGCGGTGGCAAACTTCAAGCACCACATTGAGGTCGGGTTGTTAAGTCAGCGGCAAGACAGCAGGAGCTCAAGTCCCAGTCCTATCCGCTTCGAGCTGGGGCTTCAGTTGCCGAGCCTCTGTCTTGCCTGCCATGACCAGGGCAGTTCGCAGCGCCGCAGCACCGATAGAGGGGTGCACCTTGACCACGCGGGCCACCTGAATCTCTGGCATCTGCAGGAGGTGCTGGCCTCAGGTCTGATGGCGTTGCATGCCGAATTGCGTGTCGCGCAATTCCAAGTCATGCAAGAAGCCAGTGAGCAACACCAAGGCCAGGCGCTCACTTCCAAACCAACCTGAGGGGATGCCTTGGCATGGCGCTGGCTCCTGGCTTAGCTCCCGGCACGCTGCCGCCGAGCCCGGGCAGTTGGGGATCCGCCCGTGGCAAGGCCGCGGGAACAGGACGGCATCTGAGTTCTCCAACGAGTCCCAAACCTGAGACAGGCACAACTGAGCGGCCTGCAAAAAGCTGCGAAAGCTGCGAAATGCCCAAAGACCACCAGCATGCGCCTGTGGTCACCAGTGGGCCTCCTGGCCAGAAAGTCAGCGTGGAAGCTCCGACTTGCAAGCTTAGGCTGGGTCAGGAAACCAGACATGGACCAAGCAAGCTAAAAGGGGCAAAAGGGCACGTCTTGTCCAAACAATTGAAGACACCGAGAAACCGAACCCAAGGGCGCCCCTAGTCAAAATCCATTGATGCAAAGAGGCATACTCTTGCAACCCAAGATGCTCGCTGTCTCAAGGTCTGTTTCCGAGCCGCGGCCATCGCCCATGGTGACGTCAACAGCACCGGGCAGCTTTCTCTCCCCGATGCTTGACCATTCACTGCTCGCACTCAGAAAAGCGCTGTGAGACTGAACGCCATTGTTGGGGGGTTGGTGCTTGGGCTTTGCGGTGCTCGTACCCATTCCACGTAGCGCTTGGTCAGAACGTGAGCTGGAGATATACTAAAGCAGCTGACATTCATCGGTCCAAGCAAGTGGCCAGTGTGATGCAGCCAAACAGTTGCCGTTGCACGCCCTTACCTTGTTCATTTCAAGCCTACCACGCAAGCCTGAGCCTGCCAACAGCCCTCGAACAAAAACTTGCAAGTCTGCACAGCTGCGTGTCGGACTGCCATTTCCAGCACCTCATTCAAGGCCTGCAATGGCGAGGAAGCTGCACCATTGCTGCGTGTTCGGTCTTACAAAACCTGCTGAGCACCTCACAAGGAATCTGGGCTGAGTCGGTTTCACTACTATAAGGGCGTGAATATTGTGATTTGAAACTAAATTAAGTTATGATCAGGCGACTCATTGGGGCAAAGAATGGAAGTTCCCCTCCTGCTACTTCTCCAGACTCCTCCCTTCAGGTGAAATTTGCAGTTGTCTTTGACCGAGGCCTCAATCAGCTGAAGCCTCTTCTCCAAATGCCGCGACCTGAGCAACGCAGGCAAGGCTGCCCAAGTCCAAGGCTCCAACTGTGATGTCCGTGCCACGGCCCCACCTACAATTTTGGAGCTCACATTAAAACAAAAAAAGCTCTTGACATTTTCAGGATCTTGCAGGGCATATTGCGTCGCACAGCCAAACACGCGCGAAACTGAGTTCATGTTACGTGGCGGCTGCTGGGCACACGTCATCTCGCCTGTTAGCTGAGGCCAGGGACAAGGCAATGGCGAGCTGAAGTTCGGCCTGCGCACACGCGAAGCCCAATTCCCACAAACATCCGTCACATCACCTACCTGAGCCAACACTGACTGCGCAGGCCCGTCGATTCGATGCAGCACATGGCGACCTAGGCCCCTTTCGAAGCCCTGTGGCGCCCCGGAGGAAAAATCAAGGAACACCCAACATCAACCCTTTCATAAGCTTCAGGGGCAACTGAAGGGGTCTTTGGTTGTGAAACATGGCCCTGTGTTTGTTGGAAGGAAGCACCAGGCAAGGTCCAGACTCGCCTCTACACAGCGCTGCTCCACCTCTAGTCGCTCCAGGCGTTCTGCCTGGAGGCGGGAGGAAGGATCTGAGCCATAGTTTGCATTCCTCATGTCCTCACCTAACATTGGATTTTGGCGAGTAACCCACCCTCATTGCGATAAGTCACTGTGGATATGGACCGTTGATCCTTCACCACTCTGAGCTCGCCGGTGAGCTCGCCCTACGTTAGCCAATCCGGCTGCACAACTCATATGGCCAGCAGCCAGTGTGTCTCGCAGCGAGAGGTGGCAACACAGAAACGAGGTTGCCAGTATCGTGGCCATCAGTTGTTTCAGGCTGGACCCTTTCCAAATGAACAATGTGTGCAAATGATGACACGATTCACACACCAGAAACAATTAATCTCCCATGTAAACGACCTTTGTGAGTGAGCCTGCCCCATCTGAGCTCGCTAAAGTTTGCACAAAGTATCACAAAGCACCGCCTTTTTTTTCTTCCCTACCCTGACGCGGAACTGCGCGGCTCCTCTGTCTCTGGCGCCGGCTCGCAAGGTGGCGCCTGGCGCTACTGTGCACAAGCAAGTGTGCGCTCTCTCTCTCTCTCTCACTGTATCTCGCCTCACTATATATAGATATATAGAGATAGATGTAACATATGTATACTTCTATATAAATATATCTGTCCAAGGGGACGCTGAGGTGGAACGACGCATGTGAGTCCCACATGCTCTACCCAATCCAAAGTTTGATTGTTTCTTTTCCCGAACGCTTGGTCGTTGGATGCGTGCCGATTGTCATTCCTACTTTGATGTCTGGGGCCGGCACCGGCATACCTTCAGGGCCGTCTGCGATGACCTGGCCAGCTGGGCTGTGGCAGGGAAGGACGTGTGCATGATCCTTGCAATTCATCCATCGCCATTTGGGTCAGCCTCTAACTAGGCACCCGTTCAGAGAGACGACTCCCGTTTGCATGTCCGGGTGTTCCGGCGCCGGCCGCTGAGAACCAAGACCCTGATTGCTTCGTCGCTCAGGTCCGCACGATGCTGCCGACCGGCATCAGCCTGTTCTCACAGGACATGCGACACCTACCTGGGAGTAAGATGGAGTAAGTAACGGATTTCTGATAGACATGACAAAGGAAATCCGACACACCTATGTACCCGAACATTAGCTTCTTCTTTAAGTCTTGTCGAAGAAAAGGCCGCACAAGGGTCGCCGTGATTGGAGAAAGGTGTGAAAAGGCTAGCCAAGGATCCATCAGATAAGAGACTCTTTGGAAGTAGCCCCTGATCTCCGCTTCACGAACTTAATTTCCGGCGCTCAATAAGAGGGGCGGCCCCCAATCGGCCCTGGGCCGCCGGGCACTTCCCGACTCAGCTCTGAGTTCCGCTTCAGCATCATCGCCTGCAAAGGCTGGGCAGGGACTTTTCGGGCGTCTCTTCCAAGCTCAGTGCCACCGTGCAGCACTGGTTCCTGATGAAAGCTTTCAAGGTATCTGACAATTTCTTTCCCAGTCCTGTGCCAAAACACAAGCCCGAAACCAGCTTGAACCCTGCAGCCAGGAGCGCAGGCCAAGCTGCGACAATCGGCAGCCCATTGCCTGCCTTAAAGACCAGAAAGTCCTCCACACCTCGCAAAACAAGTTTCATGATCCGAGAACATCCTAAGATTAGATCTCAATCATAAGGAGGTCCTCAACTGTGTGCTGAACGCGACTTCCACCAGTGAATCTGGCTTCTTCTCCAGCCTGTTACAAACTAATAGCAAACGTCCCCTGCCACTGCTCACCCCCAACCCATTCCAAATCCAGTTCACAATGCTGCACGTTTGAGTACACTGCCGTCATGACACTTTTGGAGCCCCGAAATGAGGTCAATCCACTCGAGCTTTCGCTTTCGGGTGGCGGGCTGATGAGTTGCTCCACCAGGCTCCGGTGAAGCTCATTGCTCCCCTGCAGCGTTGCGCGACGACCCGAGGCTGGCGGGCGACAGGGCCATCATTCATAGAGATTCTTGGGCCCCAGCTGACAGCCCGTACTCGCAGAAGCTGGTAAACCTGCAGCTCGCGACTCGCAAAGCTCGCCCAAAAAAACTAAGAAAACTGCAAATAGCCCCGCAACAGCATGCTGGCCACGGGCCTTTTCCGGGAGCCTGTTCCACAGCCGCACAAGTTTACGCATCTGAGGACCCCTGCTCTTCCGTGCTGATCTCCAGCTCAGCTAAGTGTGCCTTGTCGGGAACTAAAACTTGGCGAGGGGGAGTTCAGGGCAACAAAGGGGTCCTCGCGCAAACCAGCTTGCTGGGATGTTACTGCAGCATGAAGCTTCTATATACATAACTTTGGCAGCAAAACTGAGGGGACAAAGCAAATCATCATTGTAATTGTCTGGTCAATCAGCAAGGGGCTCAACTGCCTGGTGGCTCAACTCAAGTACACACAACGCCACCAAGCAATAAGGGGTCACAGCCCAAGCCCCACCAGCAGGGCAAACATTCTGCCCGCAGCTTGGG